TGATAGCAAGATGTTAAGCAATTGGAAAGCACCCAGTGTCAATAATGTTTAAGCATTTGACATTTGTAGATGAAATTATGATGTAAGAATACCAGGGCCTCTATTCTTGAAAAGTATCGCATACGAAAAAGTAGGAATGTACTATAATATTTGTTACGTATATTATGGTATATTCTAATTTTTCGTATGCGATACTTTTCAAAAACAAGGGTTCAGAAACGTGATTCCGTAACTGTCTTTACACGTTTATCGACAGTTGTCGGTGTCGTTGCGCAGATATTTTATGTAGTGAAAAAGCTGCGCAACGATATCGACAACTGTCGGTAAACGTGTAAAACAATTACAGAATATAGGCCTATGGCCCCTAAATACGTTTCTTGAAAAAAAATATACGAAAGTCTAAGAAAATACTACTGTATACGTTACGTATACTATAGTATTTTCCTAGACTCAATCGCTGACCACAAATAGGTGCATCATTGACATATTCTGTTAGAACTAAAAATAGACCAAACAGATACAAAAGCTCACTGAGCGCTCAGTAAGTGATCGTGCTTCTGGATGCACCTATTGGATGCATTCAGAATGATCGCTCACTGAACACTCAATGAGCTCTTTCATCTGATTGACATGTTCCACTAAATCCTAAAATATAGACCAATCAGATAAAAGAACTCACTGAGCGGCTGAGCAGTTGTCGTTCTAAATACACCAATATAATCAATCTTGTAAGACTACTCGAACGGGTGTTTATCTCGTTTCAGGTATTGCGTCACCTCGATTATATTTTGGAAAAGCGTGGCTTAAATTGGGTGCTTTCCATTTGATGAAAAAGTTTGTCACTCTCTGAATGTCAACAAGGATAGAACGACACTTATGTCGACTTGTGCCATCAAATAAAAAGTACCCCCTGTGCTTTGCATTACACATTTATGAAAGAACGCTTTGCCATTTTCGTTTTGATGCTAATATAAATTGTAAAACACTTTATATCTCCATACATTCATAGCACTAGAAATAGCTTTTATTTACACATTCTTGTAAGCATAATTTTGTGCACAAAAGTAGCATTATAATTGATCATTAAAAAGGATTCTTTGAATCGTATTTTCCTTATGTATAGGTATGATATAGTTATCATTCTTGTATGTCATAATTATCTAATATTTATAAAATAAATAATAATAAGTAAAAAGGGCAAAGTAAGAGTCGACAGATTTCTTTAAAAATTAATCGAAGAATATGTTACAATTAACAAGAGGTAAAATTACATAAAGCAAAAATAAAATTAGAAATAAGAAAATAATAATAAAAAGTTACAAGTTTCGACTATCGGATTGAGCCCTCTTCAAACATTAACATAACGAAAAAATTGTAGTACAAAATCAATTATCAATGATCGCATATTCAATGCATTCATAGTTCGGGTGAGTCTTGATGTAGAGTTCGACATTATTTCCGTACGATTGAACAATCAAATGTATTAAAAATATCTTGACAAAGTTTTAGTTGATAAAAAAGATAAAATAAAAACTTCTTACAAAAAAATATACACATAAATAAATTGGTATGTTAATTTATTTATGTGTATATTTTTTTGTAAGAAGTTTTTATTTTATCTTTTTTATCAACTAAAACTTTGTTAAGATATTTTTAATACATTTGATTGTTCAATCGTACGGAAATAATGTCGAACTCTACATCAAGACTCACCCGAACTATGAATGCATTGAATATGCGATCATTGATAATTGATTTTGTACTACGATTTTTTCGTTATGTTAATGTCTGAAGAGGGCTCAATCCAATAGCCGAAACTTGTAATTTTTTATTATTATTTTCTTATTTCTAATTTTATTTTTGCTTTATGTAATTTTACCTCTTGTTAATTGTAACATATTCTTCGATTAATTTTTAAAGAAATCTGTCGACTCTTACTTTGCCCTTTACTTATTATTATTTATTTTGTATAGAAAGAGTCCTTAGATTTGTTATTTAATATTTATAAATTATGCAACTTGTTTCTTTCTGCGCAAATTTATTTATTTTTATACATTCATACATTTATGTGCGCCGTTCCGTATCTGTTCATGTATCTTCGCCTAATATTTTTAACTAATTAAATGTTTTTTAACCTAATGACTCTTCTTTCGCCGTTTAATTTGTTTGTTTATTTATGTTATATTTAAGAGTCTTTACATCGTTATTATTTATTCTAACGCTGGCGTTAATAATGCGTACTCCTCACCGGTCTTATTTTAATTTTATTCGGATTCACTTCGGTTCTCACGCTGTTGATTGCATGAAATCCTGGATACGATGCCGCCGTCTTATCGTGAAAAATTATGTACACACACGTTTTATTAAGCAGTGCATTCTCAATGATGTAACTCCGAGACACTTGAGCGTCTTTGACAATTTCAATATCAATTTCCGTTACTCCAGCTCAAACAAAAAATTTTCAAATCTTAAATTCTCGTTGATAAAGAGGATTTTGAGGGTTGAGCTGAGCGATTCACATAGGGCTATCGACTTATAGAGATTTACTTTTCCATTTTGTGAGCTGCCTTTCTATCTGTCTTCCGACGCACATCTGTGACGAGTTCCTCCGGACACAAGGAAAATCGGTCAATCGGTATTTCATCAAAGAAAGGAATAGGCTTGATTCCAAACTCCGATGGTTGATTAATAAAAAAATAAAACAATCCATCGTCAGGATCGCGCCCATACAGTACAGTTCTGACTCCGTCCGCAGACCGTGTAGCTTAACATCGGACAATACCTGTGTATCCTTGGGGCGCGGCTTTCTTAATCCAGCACCGTACATCGTCGATAGTTCTGTTCTTCTAAATAACAGTTCTCCCAATCCTACGATTTCCATACTCCCTAACTCCTTTCCATCACAGGTCCTTTCGTCTCTGTCCACGGTCAGGGACGGTTGGTTCCTGAACTTGTCTTCGTGCGACATTCCTAACAATGTTCAATGTTTCCTACAACTGGGTGAAAACTTTGCGCTCCCCTTTGATAACAAAAACAGGATTATTTTCAACTGCATCAAGGGTATTGAAAGTGGCACATTGAAGATGCCCTTGGACAGGAGAATGGATATAGTTAACCAGTCCATCCCCATCCTAAAAAATATCATCTCTTCTCCTGTCTTCACTTCAGACGTCCACAAACAGTTGACTAGGATGGAGTCGTCACACTTGGTTGTTTTGTCGGCGCATCCCAACATTGTGTTCACGCGTGCGGACAAGGGCAATGTCACTGTTGCTATTGATAGGAACGCGTACAAGGACGAAATGATTGCGTTGTTGGGGGACTCGGACACATATGTCCGGATCAAAAAAGATCCGACAAAAAAACTGACGACGGCTTTAAGATCTATGCTCACAAAGTGGAAAACGGGAGGGCATATCAACGCTCCGAATACAGAGCGTTGTACTGTAGTGATGGGCCCTCTCCCGAGGGCCTATGGACTGCCAAAGATACACAAGCCTTGTTGTCCTTTGAGAATTATCGTGTCGTCGATGGGCAGTCCGCTATATTCTTTGGCTACGTTCTTATATAATAAATTATTTAAGACCATTCCGAAAGCCGACAGTAACGTCAAAAATAGTTTCGAATTAGTCGAGAAATTAAGGAGTGTACATTTCACGGGGGCACATGAACTAATATCTTTGGATGTCACCTCTTTGTTCACGAATGTGCCAACTGATGTAGCGATTGACTGCATAAACGAACATTGGCATGTTATTGCCAGCGATTGCTCCCTACCTAAGAAAGAGTTCTTGGAGGCAATACAGTTCGTCTCAGACTCCACGTTCTTTTCCTTCAACGATGTGATTTACAGACAATGCTTTGGCACTCCCATGGGCTCTCCAATATCACCGATAATAGCGGATCTAGTGATGAGGAGATTGGAGACGGTGTCCTTGATGTCGTCGAGCTTTGACACATAATTTTACTATAGATACGTTAACGATATATGTACGGCGGTACATCCCTCACAAATCGATAGGTTACTAAACCAATTCAATTCATTCCATCCGCGCTTACAGTTCACCATAGAAAGAGGCGGAAATGCGATAAATTTCTTGGACATTACCGTGTCGGTTAATGAAAATCGATGTTATTTAGACTGGTACCGTAAGCCAACGTTTTCAGGTAGATTCCTGAACTTTCATTCGAATCATCCTTTGATACAGAAAAAAGGTACCATCTTCTTCGTTAGTCGACAGAGTCTTTTTATTATCTGACAATATATTTCACACTAAAAATTTGACTTTCATTATCAATATCTTACTCTTAAATGACTACCCACTCGATTTTATTTTTGACTCCATTAACCAAAGAATAAAAAATTTAATTAAAAAGATACACAATGTACATAACGTCGTAACCGATAGTGATGTTACTAAGGAATCTACCTCTTGGCTTACGGTCTCCCCTTCATTCCGTCTCACGCAGAAAAATTCAGAACATTGCGCAAAAATAAAGGCGATATCAGAGTAGCTTTCCACAGCCCCAATAAGATGAGCAAGTACATCAGAGTCCAAAAGGACACTTGTCCTCGTACATCGAAAAATAATGTCGTCTATAAAATTTTATGTAATGATTGCGACGCATCTTACGTCGGGCAAACGGGCAGAAAATTAAAAACTAGAATTGCGGAACACCGTAACCATATTAGATACAAAACTTCTGCCCGCTCCGTCATTACCGAGCATAGACTTCTTCATGATCATGATTTTCAATGGGACGATGTTCAAATCCTGGATGAAGAACCTTCTTACAGAAAGCGGCTAATCTCTGAAATGTTGCATATTAAAAAACAAAAAAATAGTCTGAATCTACAAACTGACACCGAAAGTCTCCACAAAGCGTATATACCGATCATAAACAAAGTATGACTTTCGATTTTGTCGGCCCGTCTCCTCTCCTCTCTCAGTGCGTTGTGTTCCGTTTAAGCGAGCAGTCACGTCGTGAGCGACACCGACATGTCCGGCTCTGGTATGTGCATTATTGCCGGTGTGTTATGGCTAACACATGGTTCACCTTTGCATGTACGGGGGATCATTTTGATTCGTTCGGGTTTACTGGTGAGTTTACGATTTTATCGTGATAGCGGCGTTTCTAATTGTTAAAGTCTGTTTTTTCTTACAAGTTCTTTTTCGGTCTTATCTAGCGATCTGGCTTTGATAATGGACATCTTGATTGTTCAATCGTATTTTTGAGATCCATCTGAATTTTACTTCTTTACGTTTTATGTTAATTGCGACATGAATTGTTTTTTTTTTACTTATTTTTTACTTATTGTTTATTTTCTCGCGCTTTACATCTGAAGAGGGCTCAATCTCGTAGCCGAAACTTGTTATGGTTTTTATACATTTTTATACATTCATACATTTATATGCGCCGTTCCGTATCTGTTCATGTATCTTCGCCTAATATTTTTAACTAATTAAATGTTTTTTAACCTAATGACTCTTCTTTCGCCGTTTAATTTGTTTGTTTATTTATGTTATATTTAAGAGTCTTTACATCGTTATTATTTATTTTAATACATAGGAACTAAATATAACAAGGAAGTACTAGGAACAAGTTATACAAAGTGATTGTCGTTTAAAAACAATGGTAGATATTAACATGATAAGTAAAATTAAATAATAAATTATTAATTGAGAAACAATAGTCCCTTTAAATTACATTGATGTTAAAATGAGAAAAAATTTTATAATAGAATAGAAGACCTTCCAGAAAGAAGATCCAAGACCATCATCACAGTCACACTATGTCTCAAGAATTTGCCATCTTTAATCGTTACTCAAGATTCACAAGGCTCATTCAGGTGGTCACTTACATTTTTCGTTTTGCAAAAAGCTTAAGGAAGGCAAAATTTACCACCCAGAACACTCAAGCATCTTCAACAGCGAAGATGCATATTATTCAATCAATCACACCTGAAGAACAGAATCGAATCATCATTCATTTATCAAGGCTAATTCAAGCAGTTTATTTCACCGAAGAACTGAAGTCGCTTGATAAATAAGGAATCATAAATAAAAACAATCCCTTCCTAAGACTGAATCCATTTATTGGCGACTCTGGAGTCTTGCGAGTGGGAGGTCGTTTAAAGAAAGCATCGCTTTCATACTCAGCAAAACACCCAATATTATTGCCTGGACATCATCCATTCTCAATGTGTCTATTGTGAGGCATGAGCATGAAAAATATCTTCACGCTGGGCCACAGGCTACTCTAGCAGCAGTACGTGAAAGATTTTGAGTCACGTCTGCACACAAATTGTTCAAAAATATATCATCTGCTTTTGTCTATCAAAGGCTGCTTCAACAATCATGGGAAATCTTCCGAAATCACAAATCAACAATCCTACGAGGGCGTTTGACCAGTATGGCGTAGATTACGCAGGTCTCTTTTATTACAAGGAGGGCACTAAAAGAAATACCAAGCAAATAAAATGCTACATTGCAGTTTTCATCTGCTTAGCCACAAAGGCGATTCACTTGGAGTTGGCTACCAGCTTGTCTTCCGAAGCATTTTTAAACATCTTCAAACGTTTTGTGGTCAGAAGAGGTTGTTCTTTTGATATTTATTTTGACAACGGTTTAAATTTTGTAGGCGCTGACTACGAACTAAGAGAATTATTCAAACTACTCAAGAACCAAACAACCCAGCAGCAAGTCAGCAATCAATTGGCTAATAAAGAAGTTCATTGGCACTTCATTCCACCCAGAACACCCTATCACGGTGGTGTATGGGAAGCTGCGGTAAAGGCAGCTAAACATCATTTAATTCGAATGACAAGAAACTCCAATTTATAATATGGAGAATTAGAAACATGTCTCATTCAGATCGAAGCGATCTTGAATTCTCGTCCTATTACTTCACTTTCATCAGATCCTAAGGATTTAAGGTCATTAACGCCAGAGCATTTTCTAATAGACACTCCACTTACATCTTATCCACTTACATCTTTGGAAGAAGTACCTACGAATCGGTTGTCTCATTGGCAGCACGTACAACTATTACAGCAACAGTTTTGGCGACGCTGGTCGCATGAATATTTACAACAATGCCAACAACAAGTGGCAAATTGAAGAAGCCCCTATACATGTTGGACAAATGTCATCATAAAAGATGACAACTCTCCACCGCTATCCTGGCCCTTGGGAAGGATTCAAAAAGTCTATTCTGATAATGATGGTATAGCTCGCGTTGCTACAGTTGTGTGTATAGTTAATGGTAGTTATAAACGTCCAATTACTCGTCTATATCTGCTTCCCAATAAGAAAAAGGTGTAGCTGTGGCATTTGCAATTAATTTTAACCTTGTTTGTATTCATATTTATTATTCTCTTAAGTCTAAGTTTTTTCTTATTAGCACAAGTTTCACATACTTTTTTTTTCTTTTTCGTTGAAAGATGATTCTTTCAAGGACGGCGATATGTACAAGTTGTGTCAATAATTTGAAATGATATTTAACTCGCACCGATGCAGATTTAATAAATTCGCCTCACGCAAATATCTCTAGCCGTACTGTAGTCTACCGCGCTTTTGCTCACTACCGGAATTCACCGTGCGACCCCCAGATCGTCATGTGATCGATTCGATTGCCTTCGCGCATTTTCGAGCATGTACATTTTCGCTGCGCATCGTTCGTTTTGTTCGGTTTCATCCCTCAGGGGAACGACATTTTTCTTTTCTCTCTGTGTATGTTCTTACCCGAGCGAGCATAGTAAACATTTTTGTATGTACAAGACAAATAAAACAGGATTCTAAACAAGCAGCATTCATATCATTTACAACCGTACACTACGCAGTACAAGCTACAAGGCATTTGGTAAGAGAAAAGGTGCGTTTTATGTAATGCAAGACGCACCACGTCCCAAAGCAAACACATAAATATTACCTTAAGTTATGGTTTGGGATAAATAAATAAATAACTAAAAAAAATTATATGATTGGAAACAAGACCGTTTATATTAAATACGTTACTTTAAATACGAAGCGCCACTCCGGTCTGAATGTTAAGATGTTAAACTACTATATATATTCATTTAAATGAATTAATTTCAGAAATGATAATTGTGTGCCGATATGATCGTCGGACTTTCAACGCAATCAATCTGAAATATTAATAATCCCTCCAAATTTCCCAAATCTTAAAAAACTGTAATAAACTTATTGCGAAAAATATTGTCTCGGCCGGGAATCTAAAGGCTTAGGACGCTCGCAATGCAAGAGATCCGGGTTTGATTCCCAGCCGAGGCAATATTTTTCGCAATAAGTTTATTATAGTTTTTTAAGATTTGGGAAATTTGAGGAGAATATTAATATTTCAGATTGATTGCGTTGAAAGTCCGACGATCATATCGGCACGCAATTATCATTTCTGAAATTAATTCATTTAAATGAATATATATAGTAGTTCAACATCTTAACATTCAGACCGGAGTGGTGCTTTGTATCTAACGTAAAAAACATTACTTGGTTTCTTTAGTAGAACGTATTTACAACCTATTGATATATCATGCCAGCAAATATAATAGCGACAGAAATCAAACAGGAATTGCAAATTTAGCTCAATTTCTGCCGCCAATCTTTTGGCATAGCATGTCAGCAAGCTTTTTCATATTAAAAATTAATTAGTTTTAAAATTTTTTCTTTTTTAGATTTTCTTACTTTGTTTTTAATTTACCTTATTTATGACATTTAACGCTTTAAATTACGCGGCTGCTTTGTGGTCGGTCATTGATTGGCTGTTCCACAAGGCTGCCATTATTATGCACAATAATACACCTGAGGTCTGTTTTCTGTGGCTGAACTAGTGAACATTTTTGAAACTTGAAGTGAGACAGAAAGTATATGTTTGATATTTGTTGAAAATGAGAAAGAGAGTGCTAATGCAGTCTAGTTCAGAAACAGAAAACAGATCATTGGTATTCTTATATCATGAGGTCTGTTCGCATTGCTTGCGCTTTTTGCACTTGGCATCTTTGCTTTCTTTTTTTTCAAAACTAAATATATATTTATCTCATTTTAAGTGTAAAAATATTTGAGGATTTTATGTAACGCGAACAGATCTATGGTTGAAACTGTTCAAACTACAAAATTTCAACCGCTGGACAACGAGCGACAAATCTGTCGTTCCAATTGCTTATTTTAGCAGCACGTGAAAATGTACCTTTACTTATTAAGGTGCCTTTTTATGCTGACGCTTAACACTCATTTTCAGCGTCAAAATAGGTCACATGATCAAAATTGGCGCCTGAAGGGCTCCGTTCAATAAAAGGAATAGGGAACAGAGAACAGAGAATAAGAATTTCAACCTATCAGAAACTCTGTATTCCACAATACATGACTTCTGATAGGTTAAAATTCTCTTATTCTGTGTTTTATATTTTCTGTTCCTTTTATTGTGCGGAGCTTCTAATATTTATTAATTTCTATCATGTGACTTGTTTTGATGCCGAAAATGAGCGTCGAGCGTTTGACGCTTGACGCTTGACGCTGTTATGTAAAAGCACCTTAAATGAATGCATCTTATGATGAAAAGCACACCGTGTCAATTTTTGCCTCCATAGCTTTGCCGTCTTGATTAGTCTTGAACTTTTGAATTCGCTTATGCAAATCATTACAATCTCAACTATAGCCTTCACAGGAAAAATATAGTTGCGTCTAAGGCTTGTCCCTGCGGCGATCCTACTCAGGATATTAATCATATCATTTTCTCATGTCCGCTCACTTCCCCTAAGGCTGACAACTCATTACATATATTAACAGCTCTTATTCACATCTGTAACTTCTAATGATCTTCCCCCTCCTTAAAAATCCTTCCCCTAAGCTATGTCATTTGCTTTTATCATTTCTGTAATCAAACAACCTCAACATTTAAAACTCGCCAGCCGGGCTCGCTTTCATGATCCGTCTGGGAACTTTCGTTTTGCGTATGAAGCATGTGCTTCCCCCCTTAACTTGTTCGACTACTCTGCCACTTGCGAGACTCGGCGCCTCCGGCGGTCGTTTTCGATTCTGGCTGTATCGACTCAGCTCATAGTCAGGGCCACTCTACCAAGATTATTATTGAATTCACTTATTGTAAGCCTATTTCGTGTTTACGCTAGTACATACATATATGCGATTACAATGAATACGAAGGAAAAGGAAAAATACATCGAGGAATTCGATTTTCCATATTGCGATGAATCTTCCAAGTATGAAAAAGTTGCGAAAATTGGCCAAGGAACTTTCGGGTAAGCAAAAATCTTACGTTTAGATTATGCGATGGTGTAAGGTTACGGCTGATTATCGAGAGATTTCTCCACGATTTGTTCGATCTAGATATTTTTTCAATAACATAATTATTCATTTAATTTGTGAGGAGAGCATTCTGAATAAATATCGCGTCTGCTTAAAAATTTATAATTTATATTGTATGCATGTATTCTCTTTTTTCATAGAGAGGTATTTAAGGCTAAGGACAAGAAAACAAACAAGAAGTTTGTCGCAATGAAGAAAGTACTAATGGACAATGAGAAAGAAGGAGTAAGTTTACCTTATAGTATATAGTATATCATTTAACTATATGATTGTCAAGGTTGCTATAAACTTTTTATTAATACTTGTGTTAACATAATCTTTATACTAATGCAAACATATTTCCTTTTACTCTATTCATATTACAATATTTTTTTAAATTTATAATTTGTTATATGTGTATATCAAAATCTTGTTACAGTTTCCCATTACGGCATTACGTGAAATAAAGATATTACAATTGTTGAAACATGAGAATGTGGTTAACCTCATAGAGATTTGTAGGACACGAGGTAAATATATGTATATATGTACTACTCTGCCTTCTAACTTATCGTATAATTATTAATATGTACATGTAGGAGTTTACTCTTTCACTAGATAGAATACCTCTCAGAGGAATATGTAGAAAAAAACGACAACTATAAATATCTGAAAATGTTTGAATTATGAAAAATAATTTTATAAACAGCCTTAAATAATAATTGAAACAATTGGTTTTAACATTGTATAATCTAATTTAATTAATTTCATAATGTTTTCAGCAACTCAGTATAATCGATATCGATCTACTTTTTATCTGATATTTGATTTCTGTGAACATGACTTGGCTGGTTTGTTGTCAAATGTAAATGTGAAATTTAGTTTAGGCGAAATAAAAAAGGTTATGCAACAGTTGCTAAATGGTCTTTACTATATACACAGTAATAAGGTGAGAAAAAAAGATTTACTTATCCATTTTACATCTCTTTAAAGATGTCAAATTCTAAAAAAGTTTAATCAGTTTGTTAATAGAAAGTAATAAAAAGATTCAAGGTTATTTTCCATTAAAATATAATAATAATCTTTACATTATATTTCATCAATCTGCATGTACATTTATCTTTAAATATTTTAATATTCTTGTTATAAGTATGCATAACATTTTAAAAAATTACATTAGTTTATTAAAACAATGATTGCAATGGTATGGTTTATCATGGTCATAGAATAAAATTATTCAGTGATATCACATCATTAATTGTTGCTATTAACATTGTTACAATAATTATTACATTCAGCATCACAAAAAGCATTTAATTTCTCACAGATTTTACATAGAGATATGAAAGCCGCTAATGTTTTAATAACAAAGAATGGCGTATTAAAATTAGCTGACTTTGGTTTGGCACGAGCATTCAGTGCAAAAAACGGCCATTCGAATCGTTATACCAATAGAGTTGTTACTCTTTGGTACCGACCACCAGAACTCTTACTTGGTGACAGAAATTATGGACCGCCAGTGGATTTATGGGGTGCTGGCTGTATAATGGCAGAAATGTGGACAAGGTTTACATTATTCTATGATTATGTTCTTGCTTGTGATTTTTGTTCGCGTAATCATATACTTTGTCTTATAAATTTGCAGGTCTCCTATAATGCAGGGAAGTACCGAGCAACAACAGCTTATATTGATTTCACAATTGTGTGGCTCGATAACGACCGAGGTGTGGCCTGGCGTTGAAAATTTAGATCTATTTACCAAAATGGACCTTCCAAAGGGGCAGAAAAGAAAGGTAAAATCGCAAATTCCATTGCATAATATTTTAAGGAAGCAATGTGACTAGTGACATGACTATAAGTTACACTTAATTTAAACATTTCATGTAAATTGGTATTCTATTCAGTCAATTAAACGTACGTTGAATCGGACGTGTAACACATTTTTATATTGCATTTTAAATTTTGAGTCAGTCAATAAATGATATTAATTAATGATTTTATATATAGGTCAAAGACAGACTGAAGCCATATCTGAAGGATCCTTATGCCTGTGATTTGTTGGATAAACTTTTAATACTCGATCCTAGCAAAAGATGTGACTCTGACTCCGCGCTAAATCATGATTTTTTCTGGACTGACCCAATGCCATGCGATCTCAGCAAGATGCTGGCGCAGCATACTCAGAGTATGTTTGAATATCTGGCACCACCGAGACGACCTGGTCATATGCGACATCCGCATCATCAAGTACCTGGAGGACCAACCAAACCTAGTTCCAGTATGGCCGATAGTGGCTATCAGGATCGTGTCTTTTAACATATTTATTTTTATTCATATATAATATACCTGTATATATATATATAAATATATAATGTATATGTATGTATGTATGTATGTATGTGTGTATGTATGTATATATTGTATATCATGTGTGATATACGAGGAACGTTCAAATTCAAATTATAATTGTGCATCCAGATAATGAGGCGTGCACTTTAGAATGTATAGAGTGCGTTTCAAATTACACATGAAGCGCATGATGTATTTTTTATTGCATCCTCCTTTACTATTCGGTAAATAACAATGACGAATGATACATCATGCGCTTCATGCGTAATTTGGAACGCACTCATACTCTCTCCTGAAAAAATTTGTAGACCTGAGTTCGCGTCTGAGTAACCCAATACCTGGGTAATCTTTGCTAGAAACAGCAGACATAAGCGAACTGAGATTGAGCCAAATGTAGAACAATGCACAACAATTACATCGGAGAAAGACTTTTAGAGAAGACTGACGACAATGCCAAGCCAAGAATGAATTATATCTCTGTGGCATTCAAGAATATATATATCGCAGTGGTAATAGCAGAAAATGCTGACTGAATTGATGAGTGTTTGTTCTGATCGTTGCATGCATTGTCTCGGATGACCTTTGTTCTACCAAACTTTGCGTCTACCAATTTTTTTTTCGAGAAAGTACACAAGTACAATTCCATTGATATAATCAGCACGTCACAACACACATTAGTGAGATGTGTGAATTTAAACTGTAATAAAAATTTGAATGTCCCTCGTATTTTATACATAGAGTGCAAGTTTTATACGAATAGCTATCGCGCTATACAATTTCATCATAATGTTACCAAATTTCATGACAATTCTAACATAGTTATTAAAATTATATTTGAAAATCTATCTGTAGAGTTGACTATATCATTTCTACACCCAAAAAGTGCAATGAAGCAAAAATTTACATATACGAGCATATACGATTATGAATTGGAAAGTCGTTTATAATGTTTACCATACATCAAATTCTCACTTTTTATTCTTCAACCAATGTACATACATACAAGTATCGTGTAATAATTAAGTTATAAAATTGTATAACGACTGAAGTAGAAACAGCTAGACGAAGGAAATATTAGGTTGTTCGGAAAGTAATTTCGTTTTTTCTTATGAAAATGAAAGACGATTTTCAATCAGACGCGTTTCAAATGATCATAAACGGTCGAATTCGATAAATTTAATCTCTCAGCGATCTCACGAGTTGTTATTCGCCAGTTTGGATCAATTAATGCCTTTATTGTGTCTTCATCAGCTTCAACTGGCCTTCCAGAACGTGGTGCATCTTCAACATTAAAATTGCCGGATCGAAATTTTGCAAACCAGTTTTGGCACTGGCGTTCTGTCAATAAACTTCTCCATACACATCGGATAATTTGTTTCTTGCTTGAACAGCATTTTTACCTTTTCGATAGTAAAAAAGTAAAATATGCCGAAAATGCTGCTTTTCACTTTCATATTTGATAGGGCACCAACCAAAAACTACTGCGTAGGATCAATCGAACTTTGTTCACAAGCAAGCCTTGCTATAGTAGCTGTCAAAATATATAATGATTATGCGGCTTAAGTGTGAAGTTGGCTGTGAAAAAATACAATAAGTCCTCTGTTGGGAAAAAACGAAATTACTTTCCGAACAACCTAATAGTACGCGAAACGTAGGAGTGAGGTTAGGCTATTTCGAATAATACGAATATCCTGTCGAGTCGCGAACAGTCGCGAATAAAGCAATTGTAACTCACAAGTCACAATCAGTCAGTAGGATTACTGATTGTAAACATTAACAGTTATGTTTCCGAAAAATGTCAAGACAACGCTGTTGTGTGGGCCGAAAGATTTGAGTAAATCTTTTATGTTTGAGGTATGTAGGTATTGCACGTAGGAGTAATGTTCAAACGTACGTATAAATAAATCTATCTGTCTCTCTCAACTACAAGATATATTTTCTAAAGTGGAAAGAAAACATTTTCCTACATCTCCTAGGCTGCGACGTATTGGGCGGAGGAAGGACAACGGGTTGTTTACATTACCCCGACACCTCTGGAAAAACGACCGGCGGCTTGTCATGACAGAAGGAATCCATCAGTCACTGCGCTCAAACTAATGAGATTCATGTAAGATTTATATACTATATTATATTATATATTATGTAATATTTTTTTTTTACATTTGCAGACTTTCCCATTTGTCAACAATTGTTGTCACTGCAACTTCTTTATGTTTATCTGGAATTTAATTGTTATTTAAAAAGAGTAAATATCCCAGCAAACGAAAATGGATTGAAATGATGAATTGAAATGGATTCAGATTTTCAGAAATATTGATTCACGAATGTTAAAATGAATGCTTTTCAATCCTGAATGCATTTTTATTCATTTATAGGAATTGCATGGAGCATATCTCTATGCCTTCAATCTAAAAATAATATTACCTTTTTCTGTGCATTATGAATACTGTTCAATTCAAAATTTTGAATAGGAAATGCAGTTTTTTAATCCAATTGCATCCAATTGAATCTAATTGAATACAATTGAATCCAATTAAATCCAAAAAAAAAAAATTTGCTATTTAAAATACATATTTGGATAGAAAAAAATTTCAATTTATTTTAATCCATTCTCGTTTGCTGGGATATTATCTAACGATATTTATACATTTGACGTTTATTCATTCATGCGCATCGATACTTTACACAGCGCGCATAGCTGTCTTGATATATTTATTTATACGCAGATATTTGTCGGATTACGAAGTCCTCGTGGAACAACTTTTTAAACTGCACACCTATGCAGCAGTACCTTCTGTGCTTTTGATAGATGACTTAGATGATTATCTCTTGAGTGACGAAACTCCTGGAGATGATAATTCGAGGTCGCGTATCGCCAGAATTTGTGCCTTGATACTCCATTCGATGAAGTCGTGTTCACGAATTTTAAAAAAGAATGTAAGGAAGAAATATTATTTGTACCTTTAAAAAAACAGATTTCTGTTTTTCCGAATAGAGAAAAAATCTGTATTCTCTGTTTTTCCCTCTAAAATATAAAACGTGTTATATTATACCTTTGGTCTCCGGTATATTAAGCCTGCAGCATACGATGCTGGTTTTCTTGCTGGATTCCTAATTTCTAGCTAGATTAGAATATTGCCATCGTATTGGCTGCGGTACTGACAGGATCAGCATTGTAGTCAATACGATGGCAAAAATTTATTCTAGCTAGCAATCTAGCAAGGAAACAAGCATCTTGTACCGCCGGCTTTATCCATATTTCATTATTCATTCATCTAAATAAACATACGACTCTTTGATTCATCTTCTATCTACTTTCTCTCCAACTTAAAAAAAAAATTAACTTGGATAGTTTTATAATAAACAAGCTCCCATATAAGTAATATTGTCAAAAAATTAAATTTCGAGAATTATTTAATCTTGATGGTTTTTCAATCGTGTTTTTATGGTAAAATAAATAATGATTACATTATAGGTGCATGTGTGCATATGGACTAGTTCTAGCCTCATCAATAACTTTATTCAGACAATTTACTTTCGCAATGTCTGGAATTTAACGGAGAAGGAGAATGGAAAAGTTATTTTGGTGGAAAGGTGTTCCATTAGATCATCGTTAGAACGATCGTACATATATTATAAATTCCAAGATGGGATGCGAGTTCTTCAACAAATATTAGGCGATTCAATGGAGGTTTAATGATATTTTTATTAGGGATGCACCGTAAAATTATCGGATATCCGAGAAGGCAATTTCTTCAAGCCGGATATCCGACTGGATTCCGAAAAAGTGTCCTCTAAAAAAAAGCCTATAGAGAAAAAGATTGTAATTTTTGCAACAATATACAAGATAGCATCATGAATATGCATATTTATTTCTAGAACATTTGTACAAGAAAAAAATCAACAATTTAATGATATGAAATTTCAACCAGTATATTCCCGGATACTAATGATATCCGACTATCCGATTGGATAGTAAAAAAGTGCCGGATAATACTGGATACAAGATACTCTTCAGATATCCGGTGCATCCCTAATTTTTATTAAATATTTCTGTTTATTTTTTATTTATCTTGTTTTATTTTTTAGTTATCTTCATTCTTACCATTTTTTTAACAGTATATATGAAAATGGAATACAAATTCTATAAAAGTTATTGCGTGTAAAATAAACTACATTAAAATTACTACGTTACTGGCTGACGTATGTATCATAAGTAATAAGATTTGTATAAAGATTTTTTTTTTTAACAGAATGAGAATAGAATTTAAAAAATGTCTCCCCTTCCTTCTTCTATCTATATCTATCTATCTCCTTTTCTGTAGCATAAAACATTGTTGAGCTATGTTTATGCAAGGTGTTATTATCAATTATGATACTTTTTTTTTACATAGAGCAGTTAAAATCGACCATTGGAATTGATCCATCTCTGAAAGTGGAATGACAGTGGCGGGCGACAGGAGGAGGGAAGAAATAAGAGACAGGGACAAATTAGGATTATTCTGCCGATATAATATCAATGTAAAAAAGATTTATCTGTCGATTCATTGTCGGTCTGCGATAGTTGTCGCTGACGTAGCAAGAGATATCAATACCAATTAGATTCCGTATGTTTGGATTCTGTATTTGCACGCTTGCGTATGCGAGATAAGCGCGTAGTAAGTATGTGAATTGAATGTTACTCGTGCGAACTTGTAAAGTGCAAACGACAACGCGAGTTGAGTTAAGTTAAAAAAAAAATAAAAAGGAGAAAAAAGAAGAAAGAAGCACAAGTAGGTATGTATTGCATATATGTATGTATGCATATGCACATTATACCGTTGACACAACGATAACTGCAGTGAAGCGAGTCGGAAGCTGTGTCAACAACGTGGCGCAAACAATCAAGTTGGTTTTCCCTTTGTTCTATGCCGCGCTTTCTTTCGTGTAAGCAAATACATATAACTCGATCTAAGCATCCGCACAATTTAGCGATCTAATTAATCGATAAAAAGGGACGCGTTGAAATTCGTGCTTGCTTTAAAAACGCATCTCAATTAAAATGTAAATTAACTAAAAAAACGAGTACATATCTAACGTAATTATATTCATATAAATATTAAATGGCTTACAATTTTTCATATCTCTTTCTCTCTCTTATATTTTATCTCAAAATCTCTCAAGGCCGTACTTACTAATCTCCTGTTATAATTTACTTTGAATTATTTTTACACATTTTGTGTGTGCGTGTGTGTGTGTGTGCGCGCGCGCGCTTTTCCTTGCTCTCTTGCGCTCTCTCTTATTTCGGCAAATTATCATCGCTTGGATAATTAACATCGGATGAAAATAAAAGCGCGTTCCGTTTTCTATATATGTGCTATTTTATTCTAATTTATAACAAGAACTAGTTGATGATGCTCGAAAGATACGAATTTTTAAACGAAGGTAAGTGTAGCGATATCTTTTGTCAGATATCTAACAATAATTGAAAAAGCGTCAATATAAAATTATTCGTTGACTTTATTTACATTGATTTTGAAAAATTCTCTCATGGTGTGGCATATTGTACTCGTGATAATTAACGCGATAACGATAATCAACGTTCTTCTTTCATGAGAGTGTATCCTCGCGTTCTCGTAAGCGATATAAGCCATCAATAACCGCAGGCTTGTTCCTTATTAAAAGTTACATTCCATCGGTCAAACAACCAGTTTTGAATGAGTTTCGAATTCCCGATGACTCATGGATCTTCGATCTTATCCGGCACGTTGTGCATCCGCATTGCATGAGCGGGAAAGAAGAAAACGAAAATAATCACACACACACACACGCACACATCGGACAATTTGTCTGTTGAACATGGCACTCTTCGCATTCTGAATTTACATCCGTACTACGATTCGCGGGTAAATTTAAAGATCTCGTTGATAAGAGATTATCTCGCATATATAGATCATCATCATGGACATATCCAGAATTTTTGAGAGAAGGACGATTTTATCTATTCTGTTATCACATAAATAACTATTTTTTGCATTAATGAATTATTTCTTTAAATATTTTAGACCTTTGAATGTCTCATTCTTTGTTTTATTTTTAAATGGATTTTAAATGGAAACAAATATTAAGTTAATTTGTAAATTATAAATTTTCTTTTGTTTCCTCATAAGAAAGTATAAGCGAAATATAGTTATATTAAAAACGAAATGTAAATAAGTATTTATTAACGCTATATACACACACGCATATATATATATATAT